GTATGTATTCTCCGGTTTAAACACAAATATAGTTCAAAAGATCCGAATCACTACAGTCTAAGTTCAGTATAGCAGTGTAACGAATAATACTGAGCCTAAGTTTACTTAGACTGCGAATCACTTATTCCAAAACATGCAACTTGTGTGAGTGAGTTAGAGTGAGCTGTACTCCAGTTATACCATAACTTATCAGCAGTAAGTGAGTGAGTGAGTGAGTGACAATAATTCAGTAATACCACAGCTTATCAGCAGTAAGTTGTATGAGTGAGTGAGTGAGTGAGCCATAACTCCAGTTATACCAAAAAGTATCAGCAGTAAGTGAGTGAGTGAGTGAGTGGCCTCTGTACTGTGGTATTAATCCAGTAATACCACACCTCATCAGCAGTAAGTTGTATGAGTGAGTGAGTGAGTGAGCCATAACTCCAGTTATACCAAAGAGTATCAGCAGGTGTTACTGATAAGTGGTTCGAGAGCTCGAAGTGATGCCGTTCAGGATACAGAGATGTATGAAACTACTGCAAACCCAAGAGTTAGATAGTATGGCTTCGCACACAGACATCCACACACTGATACAACAGAAACGTTCTTCAAAAAGGTATCAAAACCCATTAATTCTCACACACCAACTTTGGGATGACCGTGGTTATTTTTTTGCAACTATTTTGCATTGGATTCTGTGATTCTTTGACTGGCACACCAAGCAACGTGGAAGCGTTCAAGATTCAATGAAACGGGACGAAAATGCCCATAATTACAGATTCCTGATTGGCGGATAATTAGGTGTTTCGCTGATTTGTGGCTCTCCCAAACTGATAAATAAATAAAATATTCATTTTGTGCTGTCCCTCCTCAATCATCCCATAATATTATATTTCGCTTAAAATTAGGTTAAAAACCCTTTAATCATTATTTCATGACATACATTAATACCGGCATGTGTGTGTCTCCTTATTTACAAAGGTGTTAACCAGTAGTCATTAAGTAAGCGCTTTTTGACCTTTCACCCATGAAATAAATGGAATTGTACGAATAATACAACGGACATCAATACAATCGGGTTTTTTTAAATCAGCAGGCTCATTTGGGGCAACCTACTTTATTGTTTTGAGGGAAAATTGAAAGAAGCCTGAGTTTGATGAATCTAAAAGAAAATACTTTAAATGTCAAAGAAGACGACCCCAAGAACCATTATTCCACGTCTTCAAAGATCAAACGCTAGCAGCTAAATTGCGCAATATAGTTCATTTAACTGGTAACACTTCATGAGCTATTCTGCCACTCTCGGAGCCTGTAAGAATTGAGCACGTTTACATATTAGGGGCCCATGAGGCCCCAATGAAGCATATGGTGCATCTGAAGTCGATGACGTTACTCGAGCAATGTAACAGCTACACCATCGCCTCCACGTTGACTGCAGTTGAAGACCAGATTAATATCCTGTGATGCGGACACCCCAGGGTCTTCGTTGTATCCAGATCAATATCCGTTAATCTTTTATCTCCATCTGACTGTGTAACAAAATATGTAGGCGAGATGTAACTCGAATTAACATGGCTCAACATTTAATGTATATAGAAAAACCTTAATCCCTGTATAACACATACATTATTTGATTGTAGGTTTTATTTGTTTGTTTGTTATTTACCGCCATGCTCAGCAATTTTCCAGCTATATGTCGGCGGTCTGTAAACAACGAGTCTGGACCAGACAATCCAGTAATCAACACCATGAGCATCGATCTACGCAGTTGGGATATGAATACACGTGTCAACCAAGTCAGCGAGTCTGACCACTCTATCCCGTTAGTCGCCTCTGACGATAGGCATTGGTTACTGAAGATCAATTTGAACCCGGAACTTAACGGGTCTGGATCATCACAGGTAAAGGGGAAGCGTATTTACGAAACAAAAGTGGTTTTGAGCCAGTTTACAATCTTCAAGCCGTATGAAGACTGTTAGACAACCAATGGACGTCAGTGTAGGCAGTAACAAAACCAAAATTAGTAACGAGACCAAAATGATAGCATCTCTCCACGCTTATTGTGAATCATATTATTATTGTCATTATATTTGTTCGGCAATAATTACAATATGGTTAAGTGACAAGCATCTGAAAAGCAATATCCCTAAAGGTCATTGTTTGACCCACTGGAATCTGTTTCGGCTTCTACTCAACGTCAGCTTCGAGTCTGGCATGGACGTTTTATACTGAAACGATGTCGTATTGGAGGAACTGGTCAATTAGTTAGACATTATTTTGACGTGCCTGTCAAATTATTCTGTCAGTCACTGTATGCTCCCTGTGAACAGTCACAGACTGGGAGTTTGCTTGTATATACAAGAGTGTGTATATTCATTGTGAGTGAGTGAGTGAGTGTAGTTTTACGCCGCTTTTAGCAATATTCCAGCAACATCATTGTAACCATGTGGGGAATCGAACCCGGGTCTTTGATGAGACGAGCTAACGCTTTATTCACTTGGCTTCCCCACCGCCCCCACGGCATAGGGGGATTCCCTAAATGTGACGTCACTTTTAAGACGATTTACAAAACCCACTCAGAGGCGGTCATTGTGCCTTTATTAAGTTTTTGATTTGCAGCAATGCCAAAGGTGAACATTGATGAGGAGACCTCGACTCCGGCAGTAGAGAAACATCCATGTTTGTGTAATGTGGAATCAACCAACAATAAACATGCACACACGTCTTCAAATGCCCAGGACCCGTGAAGTTCCGGGTTAGAATTGGTCTTCAGTAACCCATGCTTGTCGAAAGAGGCGACTAACGGGATCGGGGGGTCAGGCTCGCTGACTTGGTTGACACATGTCATCGGTTCCCAATTGCGCAAATCGATGCTTAAGCTGTTGATCACTGTATTGTCTGGTCCAGACTCGATTATTTACAGGCCTCCGCCATACAGCTGGAATATTGCTGAGTGCAATACAACTATACTCACCCACTCCCTCAAATGCTCAGGGAGCCATGGGCCAAGTGCTTGAAGGAGCAAGTGTATATCCTTGAATTGATAATGCAAATACGTCTGGTTTTCATATCTGTAAAATGTATTTTTCCTTTCCTGAATTTCATTCCTGATGTATTTCCATAAGATAATATAAACATTATTTTACTTAGGTTACTTAGGTCTCGTACTTGTGTATCAGATCATGTCTTCTAGACTCTCTTCATACCCTACAGAATCATTCTACATGTGAAATGGATGCACAGACTGCTTGAATATTGCTGCGTTTTGCGATTGATATTGCTATGTGTAAAGAGAAAATGGAAAATGTTACTTTGCAAGCAAAAATGTTCACAAAGATAAACATTTTTCACAATTTCAAAGACACGTTTTACTTTTTTAACGAATGCAAATCAGCAGAAAATGTTTTAAAATACTGAAATCATAGGAATGATTATTTTACAATTTTACACACCTTACAACAGACATTTCTTGTTTTAATAGTTAAAAATGGTGACTTTAAATGGTTTATCATTGTCCCAAAGCAGAATTTTATTTCAACCTTTCTTTCGGACATCAAAATCACTGTGACTGGTTTATTTCGGCATGGACGAATATAGGACAATTTAACTCTTCTGAAAAAGCTGCATTTCACCTAAATATGAATGCATTTGAGAATGTGCTTTCGGTATTTGCATAAAGCTGTGTTGTTAAGCTTTCTTGTAAACTAAAACCTTCTAACATATCTTTGATAGTTTTTCAGTAATTCATAAAGGTAGGAGGGTAGCGTTTCTTTTTGGCGTCTAGTGTATTTCACGTGGAATCCATATTTGTATCCTTTATAGTGTTTAAACAACAAACAATACTAACGAATCTTTGCAATTGTTTCACAATGATACCTCTGGTTGTCTTAACACGTTATGGACGTAAACAGAATTGTCAGTTGAAAACAAACATATTAAACATTAAAGATCACATATGTTGTGATTAGTCTTACAGACATTTCATGATAAACGTTTATGGAAGATTTCTCAAGGAACAGTTACAAGGTGATTTTCTGATTTTCAAACAGAACGGCAAAGAATAACCGAGAATTAATTTCGTAGAGAAGTACGGGTGGTATGTCAGGTATCCCCGACGAGATATTGCTGGCATATTGCATAAACCATGCCCACTCACTCACTTTCAACAGACAAATACTAAACCGGACAAATGAAAGTACACGCCTGTAAGGTGAAATTGACTTACACATTTACACAAACGTCATCAAAACTTACAATTCTGAAATCACAACTATAGCCTATGATTCCCATATGGAATACATCACTTTCTGGCGGTGGGGTAACTTGTCACGCTGAAGACCCAGAAGGGCGTTGGTGTAGCCTAGTGGTTAAAGCGTTCGCTCGTCACACTAAAACCCGGGTTCTTTTCCCACATTGGTGCAATGTGTGAAGCCCATTTCTGGTGTTCCCCGCCGTGATATTGCTGGAATATTGCTAAAAGTGACGTAAAACTAAAATTCACACGCCTTGTCACTCAAGACCCGTTTCGATTCACTACATGGGTACAATGCTTGAAGCCCATTTCTGGTGCCCCCCTCCGAGATATTGCTGGAGTATTGCTAAAAGTGGCGTAGAAACTAACTCAGTGACTTCACTTTCGAATAACCATTTTTTGTTTGTGTGCATAACAGCCTCTATCAAATATGGATGCACTTCATTTCAGTTCGACAAAAGTTAATATTCTAATTGTAGAATTCGAAAATCACACAAAGGCGGAGGCGGAAGGCGGCCTCGTCAAATCAAGCTGGTGGTTGGCCTTAAGGTATGGGGCGAAGTAGAATTTCCACAGTCTTAGATGAAACCTTCTGAAGATGCGCTTAACATCCCCTGTGGCACAACACGCGCGGGATTCTTCCCCTCCGTCCTGCAGTCGTCCCTCCCCGCCAACGTAGTACAGAATTAGATCTATACCGTTCAGTGCTCCAGGCACCACGGTCTTCATTGTGTTCCGATCGATATGCGTGTATCGGGATGCTGGCAGTCTGCAACCAAGCTCCGCACACAGTTCGGTATTGACTCAACGGAGAGAGGGTGGTTGAAGCAGTGCATTGAGCTCGTTGGATCACTCCCAGCTTGGAACCGGGGATATATTTCTGTATGTAATGAACAGGGGGTACCGTGGTTGAAACTGTGCTGGCTGCCACGATGGAAAGGAATGTGTTTGTGTTTATTCTGTTTGCCGGAGCAGTGACATGCGTCAGAGAAGGTAAGAATCGGCCATTCTTGTCACTGAAACCAGAGTCATTGATTTGGAACACGATGCGCAAGCGCTATTAATGTTGACGTTTGTTTTTATTCTCTTTTATTGAAGCTGGATTCGTGTCAGGGTGTTTCTAAGCTCTTACGCTGTGCAATAGAAAATGTCATAGCAACAGACTCTAAATAGTTGTGCGTGGGAAGTGATGTTCGCCGGCCAACATTCAAAGATGAACAGATCCAGGAAGGTATCAACGTAAACAATATTCAAATGACGTGGTGGTTTAGCAACAGAATTTGACCAGTGATTGTGGTAAAACCGACCCCTCTTGGTCCGACGTTATGTCAAGCGTCCATCACCACAACAAAGATTATTAGGGGACACTCATTGCGACCCACTTCGTGATTGGTTTATTGTGTGACCTTGACCTTTACGTTAGGGCTATTAGTGAGGTTGTGACAGGTCCTCTATTAGTTGCGGTTAAGATGGCAGAAATTGCGTTTGTCAACTTAAGGAGATGAAGTGAATTTAATAAGCGCGAAGACATGCTATTTACCACGAACTTGATTGCACGCGTTTAATAATCACCCAAGCACACTCGCACGGAAAACAAACTGTTGAATGGTGGGTTAAGTGTAAATATAGAAAATCGATGTGTTCTGTATGCAAATGAAATTTTCGACCTGCTTTCAACGAGTGTCTCTATCGACAATCAACGCGGTAAGATGGACGTGTTCTGTCATGGATGATAAAACATGTTTGAGTTGGATTGTTGGGCTTGGCAACAGAGCATGCCCTGGTAGCCCGGATTGCTTGCTTAATTGACGTGCCCATACTGAAACTGTAGCCTGTATTTATAACACTCAATAGCTCTGTTTCCAGGAATGTTACTGGAAGGATTAATATTGTCTGGAGCTAATGTTGACTCACCGAAATACACTAGACTCATAGGACAGTCTGTGGTCAGTATATACAGTACAATACAGATGACGCTGCTGAGTCAGCATTTTGCAAATCTTTGCCTGATAAGCATTATAGCTTGTTTTTGTTGTTGTTGTTGTTGTTGTTGTTGTTTAACGCAATCAGAAATAGTTGATGTGATTATTCCTACAATTCCAACCAGCCCTACCTGTGGTACATTAATAATAATTGATGCACGAATTCTCAGTTCATACTTTATAACGTTAGCACATTAAGAATTGTTAAGCAGGTGTCAACTGCTTTGGAGTATACACTCACCTTTTTGCGAACACCTGATATTGTCTCTATTTGCTGGTATTTCATAAACACATGCATATGCTGTCGTCTTATGGGACAACGGAATCTTAGAGTTATCCGTTGTCATGGAAATGGTTTCCTCGCACTATTTGTGTTAAAATGGATACATACGTGAACAGTGAAACTTGGTTAATCTGGATATTGAATGTATGAAAACACATCCATAAGCTGTGTTACGAATGGGACAAAGGGATCTACCGGCTTCCCCGTTGTCATGGAAATGGTTTCCACGCTCTATTCGTGTTTAAATTAATATATGCGTATAAAGTGAAACTTCGTTAATCTGGACACCGAATGTATGAAAATGTGTCACATGTGTTATTACTGCGGATCAGGTCTGCAGACATACAGATGTACATTGCTCCGTGTCGATATTTCGTTTACCTGTATTCTGTTAAGAACAATGTAGCGGGTACAATCTGTACGGAATATACTCAGAATATCAACCACTGGTTTGTATAACCTGGACACGTTTGGGGTCGCCATTATATGTAAACGTTATTGTTATGATGAATGCTATTGTGTTTATAAACGTAATATATCGTCATTAGACCGTGAACATACGGGTTAGAATTGGTCATCAGTAACCCATGCTTGTCGTAAGAGGCGACTAAAGGGAATCGGGTGGTCAGTCTCTCTGACTTGGTTGACACTTGTCATCGTATCCCTGTTGCGTAGATCGATGCTCATGCTGTTGATCACTGGATTGTCTAGTCCAGGCTGGATTATGTACCGACCGCCAAATAGCTTGAATATTGTGCGGCGAAAAACTAAACTCACTCACTCACTATAGTCATTAGTTACCACGGTAGTGAAAATTCATTATACTATTAGTAAATATGTTGGGCAAGATATGCCCTTGTTCTGAAGTGAAAATTCATTATACTATTAGTAAATATGTTGGGCAAGATATGCCCTTGTTCTGTTGAATAAAAACAAAATGTTCCGCGTCGTGCATTATGGATTCTGGCAATCTGCATCGATGCATAAGTGTCGCACAATGGTATGGCGTAGAATACTGTTATGCATATTTAAGCAAGTTTTGAAATAATTTATAGGTTTGGCATGGTAGATCGATAATATGGCATTGTTGAAATCGTTTCCTTTCATTGCTTCGAGGCTATTAAATTATAAATATATTGTATGCAGATATTTGCTATAAATGATCTGTTTGCCAAGATGGCTTAAATTGTTCACAAATTATATGTTCATATTCGTTCAGAAAATAGTGCTCTTATGAATATTCACTTCAAAAATATTTATTTTTAATATCAATTATGAATGAAAATGTTTATTGGCCCTGTATACAGAGGAACCTAGTGATGGAAATAAAGTAACGTTCAATGCCATATAAGATATTCCCGTTATGATAATGATCACTTCCGTCATGTCAGATTCCTAGGACTACAAGAAATATACAGGATACTTCAACCAAAGTGACTCTTTCAGAGTGGTTTGTCCATGTTAAATTGCAACACGGTACCTAAAACCATTGCTAGGTCGGTCTAGTGAGTGAGTGAGTTTAGTTTTACGCCGCAATCAGCAATATTCCAGCTGTATGGCGGCAGTCTGTAAATATTCGAGTCTGGACCAGACAATCCAGTGATCAACAGCATGAGCATCGATCTGCGCAATTGGGAACTGATGACATGTGCCAGCCAAGTCAGCGAGCCTGACCACCCAATCCCGTAAGTCGCCTCTTACGACAAGCATTGGTTACTGAAGATCAATATTCTAACCCGGACCTTCACGGGTTAGGTTGGTCTAGTACAAGTAGACACATCCAAGTATGCATCCACCGACCATCCACACATACGCGTACGTAGAACAGGCGGACGGGTGAACAAAGAAAAGAAAGGGATGTCCGTTTTACCAAACGGCCCACCTTGACAATAGCTACTTGTTCTATGTAATGCCACTTGTCCTCCATCGCATTACAATGTAACCTCACTAATTCGGAACACCCAACAATGTGGAAAGATTGCAGAAAAAGTATACAGAATCTGAATAGATTTTTGTTACAAATATTAGGTCCATATATCTTGTGATACGGTTATGTTAAGTGTAGTTATGTATCTATCTGTGTACTACTAATTACAGTGGGGCAGTGGGGTAGCCTAGTGGTTAAAGCGTTCGCTCGTCACGCCGAAGATCCGGGTTCGATTCCCCACATGGGTACAATGTGGGAAGCCCATTTCTGGTGTCCCCCGCCGTGATATTGCTGGAATATTGCTAAAAGCGGCGTAAAACCATACTCACTCACTCACTCACTAATTACAGAGACAATCCCAACGAAGTAAGTGTGAGTGGGTGAGTATGGTATTACGCCGTTGTTAGCAATATTCCAGCAATATCACGGCGGGGACACCAGAAATTGTACCCATGTATGGAATTGAAATTCGGGTCTTCAGTGTGACGAGTTCCAAATAAGTAAGAGGTATTCTTTCAATTCAATATATACTCATGCCAATAATGGTTGTCACCCCCTTCAATGTTTTTAATTGGAGAGGGGGTGTGGGGAGTGGGTGTGGGTGTCACCGTGTGTGGGAGGTTGGGGTGGGGAGAGGGGTGACAAGCATTATTGGCATGTGTATGCTACTGAATATATCGGAATATATATAAAGATTGCAACGTGTACGCGAGTAGAACCACGAAATTGGGACGCACAAAAGTGGACGTTAAACACCAAACTTTATGATGATGATGATGATGTAGAACCAGGTAATATAACCCCATTTAACCGCTCATTTCAGATGGTTAGATTACAGTAAAAACTCAAGTTGTTTTAACAGTCAGGCACATAGCTAACACCCAACTGCACTTTGTAATCAATACCCCTTTTCATTTGTTGTTTACAAAACAAGGTGAAATGGGGTTTAACGTCGCACTATATTTCGCTTATATGACGACGTGAATGTGTGTGTATGTGTGGCTGTTTGTACTAGCCCAGACTGAGACTTAACCTGGTTTTATAGTGCTAGCTGACTGAGATACCATGCCGCGATTAAGCATAAATAAATGCCCCACTCTGACACATTATACTGACTCCGATCCGATCAGGCCTTGTTGTACCAATTAATGCCGAGCGCCAGGCAGGGACCAACAAGTACCATAATTTAACGTCTTTCGGTATGACGTGGCCGGGGATCGAACCCGTGAACTTCCACTCTCCGGCGGGAGGCTCTAATCACTACACCACGGAGGCGGTCTTACAAAACAAGAGTCGATACAGTTAGCTTCGAATGACATGTCACTGAGAAAGTAATAAATACAGAAAGTGCTATAGAAGTTTCTGGAAGTCAGCTGTGACAACAGCGCTTACCATCTAAATTTATTTCCTTCAGTAAAACTTACAGCAATCAATTTCACGCCCAGTTATTAATCCCTTCCTAATGAAAAAAGTCCCACAAAACGTGACGAGGGTTTCCAAATCAATTTTGAAAGAAGTTTCATCAAATTGTGGCCGTGGCGTCATTTACCCCTCACGCAGATTCAAATTGGATTTATGAAAATTGACCCAGTTCCGTAGAGCGATGTCAGTACAAAGTCTGTGTTGCACGGGAGTCCGCAAAAGCTCTAAGTTAGCCTTGATGATTGGGGTTAATTCTTATGCATCGAACTGTTTAATGTTTAACGCCGCACCCAGCACTATGTGGCGTAGTCTGGACCAGACAATCCAGTGATCAACATCAAGAAGCATTGACCTACGCAGTTGTGATGCGTTGTGATGC